TTTCCATTCTATTTTCCGTTATCCCCAAATAACCCCAATATTATACCCCAATATTCTATCTACTTAACTGGGACTGTAATTAGAAGGAGAGCCGGCTTCGCGATGGTACTCAATGAATCGGGCCAGCAGCCGCAACACAACAGCGGATGTTATTGGCAAGAGGCCACTGCGTAGGCTCCTGGGATATTTAATATTTTCCCTAATGGGTTTAATGAGGGACCATTCTTTTCAAAGGGTTTTAGGGGGCAACCCAGGCCAGGAAGAGGGCAGCCCTAGGTAACATTGGCTCAAGAAGGATGCCTGTCCTGCTTGATGAGCTCAGGGCTTGGGGTACAAGCCATTTGGGGTCTAGGAATCTTTCATCTGTCGCGGATACTCAACTAGCCAACTGGCGGCCAGGCTTAGCGAGAAGCCTGTGAAGGAAGAAGACGAGGCAAGGCACACGATTCAGGTATGGCGTTTACTTGTAGCTTTGCAGGTAGTTGGTGGCAGCGACCGGGGTGGTAAGAAACGCCAAAAGGGTTGTAGCCATACTTGGCGCGCACATAGCCCTGTTTGTCCCTACCCGTAAGCCTCCAAGTAAGCGTTCTAGAAATCCTGACGTTTCATTGGCAGCTCCTCGCCTCTCGTAGATCATCTGAACACATCTTAGAATTCCCTGTGTCCTGTTTCGTCGTGGGCATTTGCTGCTCCATGGAACCCTCACGCTAACACACAACGAAACACAACGTAGGGGTCCACATGTTTTGAATACTTGTGGGGCCTACGTGCATATCGCATTAGATTAATATTCTAATGCCTAAGAAAAAGTAGTTTCCATTGTCTTTTGCAACATAACGCAGCAAACAACATCTGCTAGATGTTTGAAAAGGGGCTCCTGGGGTTATTGCCACCTTCCGGCCAGCTTGCTGCGTGCAGGATGCCGATGAGGAAGATGAGAGCAGACCCTGGGTTGCACAGGAGAATGCTTGAGGAGCTCCACTGAATGTTTCATGGCGAAGGGCTATAGCCCCCTTGAGTAGATAGAATATGGCTTTGGGATGCTTTGGGTATGTTTTAAAAAGATCTCCATATACCCCATATTTTATCTACTTAAGGGGAACTGTAGAATTAGAAGCAGGCAGAATGGCAACGGGTTCTTGTTGAGGACCGATTATGTTTACATAGGGTTGTACTTTCACTGCCCATCCCAGGCCATTGCTCCTCAACCCCTCGTCCGAAACCTTGAATCCAATATGCCCTCGGCCCCAGACTACTGTTGATCAGCAAGGAATGGAAGAATGCATGCCTATAGTAGTCCCTGCACAAGTCCTAGAGTCCCTAGAGGTCCCTAATTCTAAAGCCCATGGCTTCAATCCCCTTTGAACCACCAGCTGCAGCAAACCCGAAGCGATCCTACCGCTCTTCCCTCAAGGCAAGCTGTACCACATGGGCTTGGCAGCCAAGGCCAGGGGTTAAGCAGGAGAAGATCAAATTGCTCACAGTCCTGCAGGGTCACAGAGGGGAGCAAGAATATGGCAGGTCTCGTTGCAGCACTTTTTGCTTGAGTTAAGGGGATATCCCTCCAGAATCCCACATACAGAATGGGTAGCCCGTGCTGCCTATAAAGGGGGTCATTTTATACAGAGCCTTGTTTCTGAGAATTCCAGGCTGGCCTTACGTGTGTAAGATGGACCATGCTTCAAGTCTTTGGGGTTCGTGGTGGTGGCCATTTCATAGAGATGTATATCTCTTTATTACGATTCTTTCAGGTTGTTCCGGGGTACGTTGCGCGTGCCATTCTATAATAAATGTTTTTGGATAGCCTGGACATTCATCCTTGCTTACCTCTTTGAGAAGTCTTGGGGTTCCATTTTATAGACTCACTGCATGGGTCCCAGATCTCTTGAGTACCCCATTTTATAGACCACTTTTCCTACAAAATGAGGTGCCGAGCTATTTCCAATATTCAATTCAATATTCCGGAGGGGTATTTAAGGGGGCGTAGTCATACCTGCAGACTAGAACCTACAAGAATCAGAGACACGGTTTAGGGGGCGGTTGTCCAGCCTTGTCAGGCTATCGAAAACGACTTGGGGGTTGCAGCTTGGGTTCTAGTCCATGTCAGACTAGACCCTCACCGTCTAAACCCTATAGTCCCCCTTAAGTAGATAGAATATGGGGTATATGGGAATCTTATTATAATGTACCCAAAGCCATATTCTATCACTTAAGGGGCACTACATACTTCAATCCCTAAGCCCTAAACCCTAAGCTACAGGTGCAGGGCTTTTTTGGAGTGCCGAGAATAAGCCGTGGCGTTTGGGACGTATCCTTTGGGAACTGCCACTAGTACTTAAAGAATAGGCCCTGAGCTTTAGACCTGCAACCCCAACCTAGGCCTCCCAAATGCCCATAAAGATTGCCGATAGGCCGCACACAGGCCATTATTCTGGGGTATTCTAAACGCCCTACACCCCACACCCTAACTCGTTCTTACCTATTATAATTTAAAGTTTAATGACTAAGGCCCGGGGCCTTCTTAGTCAGCACTTGTGAGGCCCCTTGGGCCTCCTTAATCGGCAGCTCAGGCCCTTTGGGTTCTCGGGCTTTAGGGTTTTGGGCTTTACGGTTCGGGCTTTAGGGTTGGGTTGAGCAATTCTTCACAGAACAACTTGTGGTGGAGGGGCGGCGGCTGCATGAGTTGAAATATTTTGAAGGTGATACATTTTCTGTGTGTTGTGGGCCACAAGTTGTGGGACCCAAGGCGCGGGTGGGTATTTTTCTGACTTGAAACAACTGCTCTTGGAATAAATGCCTGAGCTTGAGATGATGAACCTCAAGCTCTAAAACCCTAAACCCCTAAACTGTAAACCTTTAAATCCTAAACCCTAAACCCCTAAACTGTAAACCTTTAAATCCTAAAGAATCTCCTAGAGCTCAGAAGATTGCAGGAGGCGACCACCATCCACCGGGGACGCTTCAGCTGGCTTTTTGCCGCATTAATGTGCCTTGGGCTAAACCGCTACCCAGACCCTCTAAGGGATCCAAAAAATGGAACGCCCTAATCATCCCCTAGTTTCCCCAATGTAGTAATGGGTTCATATTGGGGGGTGCAATTTTTTTGGATCCTTTGGGGAGTCTGGGTAGGCCCAAAACGTGTGGCTTTAATACTTGCTGTCTTGAAGGTTTCTGGTTTGCTGTTAAGGAACTTAAATTAAGTTACCATAGTGGGTATATATCTATAAACTAAGTTCCTTAACAGCAACTCAGTTTAAGGCTCTGAGTTCAGGATTTTATGTTGGCTAGTGATTTAGGGCCCACCGCACAGTTTTGCTGCCAAGCGGCTGCCTGCAATTGCGAGGCATTGATCCAGAATCCTTAGTCTTGTAAGCTTAAAAGAAGGAGCACAGTGGCTTCAAAAGGTGGGAGGTGCAATTTACCAAGAACTGCTGATGAGGTGCTTCTTCATCGTCGGAGCGTTTGTCTCTCTGGTGCTGATGCTGCTTTCATTGCGGAATGACACCTTCCGCATGATTTCGGAGCCCTCGACTGTGTGTTGAGGGTTTATCCACGCTTTGGGGCGTTCGATTCTTCGTTTGCTGGGATCTAGGGCTAAGGGTGTGTATTAAACCTTTCCCTTTCATGCTGACAGAGTCTGATCCGAACTTTGAGACTCAGATTTGAATCTGTAAGCAAGTCTTATTTGATCAGTCAACATCTAAAGGCAGGCAGCTCCACAGATGTAAAATTGCACTCAGGAGCCGAAAACTTGATTCTCAAGAACGGGAAAGACCAGAATCCTGCACGAAGCAGAAGATCGTGCAGACTCAGAAGATCAAGCCTTGACTTCCAAATCCCAAGCCCCAACTTTAAAACTCAGTGCGAAATTCTGAGCCCACAGCCCAGACCCATAATCCCAAAGGTTCGGGCATCCTTGCATTGCACCCGAAACATCCACGCCAGTTTGCCAGGAGGAAGTTTCATACATTCAGGCGCCCAATCCTCCTTGGGAGCTTCCGCCTTGGGGCCACGTGGCAAGAAAAAGATGTAGGAGAACTGGGTGGGGAAACCCCAGAATGTACTATATACCCATTATGGTAACTTAATTTAAGTTCCTTAACAGCAACCCAGAACAAGGGTTTAGAGTTAAGGGCTTAAGGTTCAAGGGTTCGGGTCTGCAGGGTTCATAGTCGAGGCTTTGCCTCGTGCCAAGCTTGGGGAGGTGTATATGCATGGCCAAGTGTTGGAAAGTCTGATATTCAGCATTCAGGGATTGAGGTATTAAACCCTAACCCTTAAGCCGTGTGTTTGCGCCAAAGTTCCTGCGCTCCTTGAGATAGGTAGCGGGAGTCTGGCTGCTTGGCGCCCTGAACGATAGGCTCTTGCCTGCCTTGGTGCTACCCTGAGATCCCCTTGATTGGCTTAGGGTCTATGTTGTTTTGATTTGTTTGAACAGCGCCACGGGGATAGAATTTTTTAATTCTACATATGTTTAGCGCTGGAGATACATGTGCCTCAAACCTCTAAGCAAGCCCCTTTAGAACCCAAACTTCCTGTTCTTGCCTTGAAGGCTACGTCAAGCAGCCCAATGATGCACCTGAAAGGAAGATCGGGCAGATACTTGGCTCATACTGGAGTGCTGTTAAGGAATTTAGTTTAGGCTACTATATTGGGGAAACCTTTTTATTTACTATGTATGTATATATATATACACACAACATTTAAGTTCCTTAGCAGCAACCCAGCATAGTGAGAATTTCTCCAACCAATCCTTTCCTCAGACCCTCCAACTACCCTCTATTTAGGCCCAAGTACTCACTACTATAGGGCTTAGGGTTTAGGGCGACATAACCCCAATCAAAGGTACCAGGAGGGTGCTGGTCTATAGAGTCCCGAGGCAAGAATACCAAAATGTCCAGGAGTCTGCTTGAGTAGGTTCCTACGTGCCGTGACAATTCCTGGAAAATGCACACCATTGCCATCACTCTGATAATCATGAGCGCCTGTCTGATCGTAGTTGCTGCCTTGAAGTGTGATTATTCTGGACACTTTTGAAGCAAGAGTCTTGCCTCCGGGTCTTGCTATTACTGCTGCTGTAGTTTTTACAGTTGCCTCCTTGTTGGGGTAGTCGCGATCATTGTTTTGCATTTTTTTGTGGGGGGCTCTGTGTGCAGATGATTGTAGACCCCACATGAGGATCTTCAAGTTGCGGACGTGCTTCGCTGGTTAGCCCTCGCTGCAGGAAGTTTCGCTATGCCATGCCCCAGCTGATGCTCTTCTACTCCTTGTTGCTAAGCGCGATGTGGGGGTTTCCAAAATTGAGGAGCCCTTTTCAGAAGTCCCTATCATCAGGTGTTCAGCATGTTGGTTTTTTGGGGGGCTCCCTGAGTCCTTGCACTGTTTCCGAAAGTTTGTCAGAAGGCAGGCCTCTAGCATCCTTGCCGAATTTGAGAAGTTCTTCAGACGAGTCCACTAACATTGCTAATCAGGCGTTGGTGACCTCAAGGATGTCTTAGGGTGTAGGGTTTAGGATTTAGGGTTTAGGGTTTAGGGTTTACGAAGGTTGTTCTGGTCTACCCAAAATGACTGACTCTGAAATCTAGAATCCTACAAGCTGCAGCCCCCCTTTTTAACCCCTATATAATCCCCCATAGAACCCCCTTTAAGGAGTTCAGACTATGGTGTGGTGTCCAGGTGGGCATGGGACTACTTAGTCCGCTCATTATGCAAGCAGGCTTGAACCAGAGACACTGCACTTGAGCTTGGACGTTGGTTATTCGTGATTTCTGAATAACCACAAGTCGCGCAGTAGGGCTTAAAGCTTGAGGCTCAGAATTTACAGAAATTCTGATTCCTCTGGCTTTCCCCCAGACTGACGCAAAAGCCGAAATCATAGACAGCACCTTAAGCCCTTATGCCAACCCGAGCCCTGGGTAGGAACTTGACATGCAAAACTTAGGCTCTGTGGCTGCTTTGGGCTGTTCACCGCTGCTGACCTGCATTGTTGTTGATGAAGATATTCTCCCCCTACAATGGTACGTCCATCCCTTGAGGACAAAAGCACCAGCTTAAAGCTGGAGGCTTCGCGTTGCACAATTGAATGCAATCAGTTTGGAGTTGTTCGAGTGTGTCTGCGGGCACGGGGCCACAGAGGTCTGGTTGCTGATAGGGAGGGCTTGCGAAGTGGCAGTTGAATTGGTCTTCCTAGGTCGCCTACTTCTGTTCCGAGCTGCTGGTCCAGGACGTCGGCGCTTTGTCCCAACCAGTGTGCTTTTGGATTGAAGGGCTTAAATTTGGGCAGTTGGTTGTGCACGTATTTGAGTATTCCTGTCCGCTCCGATGATTGATTGTGGGAAGCCACCATGATTCTTGGCCTGTTAGGGCACGAGCCACAGGCCGAGGTCATGTCCTTTGGTGTTGGTGGGTTCAGGTGGGTATGCTGCCAAATAAGGATCTCAAGGCATACCCCAAAGACCCAAATCACTTTCGTTCCAATTACTGCAGCAGCGACTCATCTGAAAACCCAACATGCAACTGCGAAGAGTGGGGTGGGGCCTAAAGGGTTAGGATGGGATCCTCAATAAGGTGACGAGGGTTTTGACATGCCTCTAGTACATGTGTCTTCTACGCTAGCTTTCAGCAGTTCAAATGCTGAATTCTGAGCTCTATAACCTTCAGCCTTCAGTACAGGTTTGGGGGCTGAAAAAGCCCCTGCTGACTTGATGGAGAATTCCGAAGCAAAAGTTTGGAACAGCCACTATAGGCTCTGAAACCGTCATGCAGATGGGCGAGCTGGTGAAGAAAGGTGTCGACGTGCGCCTTGGATGATGATCTGGGCAGCCAGGTCGGGCTCTGGACAAGATATGTGCTATAGTAGTGCTATAGTCTACACTCCTTAAAGGGGGTTGCACAAGGGATTGCACAGTAAGTACTAAAGGGGTTGTAAAGGGGGCTACAAAGAGTTTGGGAGTTTTGAGTATAGCTCATATGAGGTCCCTTTTCAGTTGTTGTGTTTCTTACTCTCGAGATCTGCGATCCTTTCAACCGCCAAACCAGCAGACTTGTCTCTGGCATGCGGAGTGACCCTCGTTGTTCGGATCGGCGCTGCATCATGAGACGGAAGAATGTCACAAATCGCAAGCACATTCGGTGGAGCGTAGTAACCTTCAACCCAGCGAACACAATAGTACATGAACTGTCACGGTGCAAACCCTAGTTTTGCGTGGGCGCTCATGCTGCATGCACTGGCGGCAAGCCCTAGAAACGATTGTCAGACTCAAGCGTAAGAATCGCTTACCAGGGGTACCCCTGTTCTGGCACCTTCAACATTGCACGTGTGTTGCAGAATTGCAGGTGTTCTTCCAAGATAGATGTCACTTCGACCTTGACGATCTTACCCCAGCTGGGTTCAAAATGCAATTTGGCCTGGGGGTCACCTCCCATACAAGCAGCGGAGGAGGGGGGTCTCAGCGCATCCCATTACTCAAGTAGGTAGTGTTTGACCTACCTGGCTGCACCGAGCTACAAGTATAAAGGCTAGCTTGCCAGAGTGCTCAGCCACCGTCCAAGATACCTCCTTCGAAGTATGCCCGTGATCTTCATCGTGGTCGTTGTGGTTGCTTCCGCAACTCGGCAAGAACACTGCCCTGATTTTTTGTGAGAGACGACATGGGAACTGGACAGATTGTGTCAGGGCTGGGATCATGAAGGGGGCCCGTTTGTTGTGAGCTTCCCGCCCCACGATCGGTCCGAAGCAGAAGACTCGCTGGGCTTGATCTTGGCTTCTTTTGAGGGAGCAAGGCGAAACTAAGAAGCGAGCAGGGCAAGGTGAAGCTTGGAGATGGCCCTAAGGCCCTATGGTCCCTCTTTAGATTTCCTTTCCAGTACCTTAGCTATCATGTTCTGGTCAATGACATGATTTTCATAGATGCCGGCTGCTGTGGCTGCTTTACCACAACCAGGCCCATTGACTCGTGCCGGGGATTCTGGGACAGCCGTCGCGAGTCCCGTGCGCTCTTGCTACCCAAAAGCTCCTGCAGACAGTTGTGGTTAGCGAGAGAGAAATGTTGACAGCAAGTGTATGCATCCCAAGAACGAGCAGGATAACTAGGTTCTAAACCCCATATACCTAAATCTCTAGATCCGGATAGTTAGGTTCTACACACCACAAACACTAAATCCCTACATCCGGGCGACTAGGTTCTACACACCATGAACCCTAAATTCCTAGATCCCCTGCATATGCATTCCTCAGAGCTCGTGGACTGCGGATGTTTCCCTATCCCTCCTGTATATGAGCTGGGACAAAAAAATCTGTGTTTAGGGCTTAAGGGTTCAGAACTGCCAAAAAGGGATATAGAACTCAAAGATCGAGAACGTAGTAATTTTTGCTATTTGATGTGGAAGCGACAAGCGTAAAACAATGAACACCGATAACGTGTTAAATCTGATAGAAGGCGGGCCACTAGGTTTATGACGCCTCTCATGCAAGCTACTGCCAATATTGTAGGTTAAGTATAGTCGCTGGTATATTACCATTCCCCAACAGAACGCGTGTCGGTGAACTATATGGGAAAGTTGAATTATCGACTGTAGCTCAACGTGTTTTGCACCTGGCTGTGCTGCTTACTGGTCATTTTCCTGTATCTTCAGTACTTCCAACTCCGCCTTGCACGTCCCGTGCCTCACCCACACATTGCATATAATTGTGCCAAGGAGACAACCTGCAAATCCCACAGCCCAATGAAATCCGCGTCTATGCGACCGCCTCCTGCTACTAAGGTTGTCTACCTCACGGCCGGCGGCCCCTTCGTCATCTCCATGCTAGTCGGTGCGTCTAGCTGCATGTTCTGTGCCCCTCGACAAGAAATCGGGAGGAGTATCCGCTTCTTAAGGACTATGACTGGGAGCGTTGCGCGTAACAAGGTTCAACTTCAGATATGCGTGTCCCCGAGGGTGTAGGAGCTGTGCTTCATCATCAGGACACGGGGTCCGGAGGTCAATTTGCTCTGTTTTGCTGTGCCTTCCATGCTATGAAGGCAAGTTTAAGTTGTGGATTTACATGCCAACCATATAGAGCTTGTCCTTGCAGTCTGTATGCAGTGAAGAGCCATTGAAAACGTTTGTTGAGCTTGCTGATGGCAGCACAGTAGTACGCTGTACAATGGGATGCGAATGCAAGCGCCTTGAAAATGACAAGTGAGGTTGCAAACGGTGCAAACTTTATTTTGCGAATTCCCACCCTGTGTCCCAGATTCATCATTCGAAAGTCATGCAGGTCACGAGGTTGAACACAATGTCAGGCAAGTAGGTGCCAGTTTCAACCAAGCGATGCGACACGGCTCAGCAGCCAACCCACCCAAGGGTTCTAGCATCCAATCAGTATTTCCTAGACCCAAAGTATGTCCATGATACATATCAGCCCAAACTGCATACCTTTTCTTGTAGAACTTGGAGAGTTGAACCCTTTGGGCAACAGATTGCTGACGGAATGAGCCGGTGCAGCGCTTGTAGCTGACATCATTTGTAGCATCCAGTAGCGGAGCCATGCTGCAGGCCAATCTCGGTACCAACATGAACTTCGAAGGCATTTGACCCTAAACCCTAAACCGTTTGGGATGTTTTGGTTTTTGGAACCTGGTGTTCAGAAAGTTGCGGTCCAGCCTTGCTGAAGTGAAATGTGTTCAAGTAGGAGCCAGACGATGTTCATTTTTGCAAGCTGTCGGGCTGCTTGAGCAGGGGCCTCTCACCCTCCCCAAGCTTGAAGGGACTAGTCTTCATGGGGACCTTTCTGGCTTTCCACATTGGCTCGAAGAACTTCGCATGGCGGCGGGATCACTGCTACTAGTCTCTTTGCCCCATTGCTCGCAGATCGTCAATGACATACATATTCTGAAATCAACGAAAGGCGACGTAACTTCCAAAGGCCCGCACTAACTGGGGAAGGGGGTGGCTAGGTGGATGATCATAATAAACTGTGGTGACGTGTAACGGATTAGAGGTTAGGAATTAGGAGATGTTTGCTTCCCAAGAAAACGAATGTTTAGTAAGGTCTTTATAGCACAGGTGAACTTTAGCTAGGATTAGGGATTTCCTGTATTTTGTGGAAGATCATAGCTTGTGGTGTTGTTGTTTCTACTGGGAAGCATCAACATTAATTTTCTATTCTAGCAGGAAATGACTCGTTTTAAAATGCGAACTAGATAGGGGGGTGTTAATAGGTTGTTGCTGGTCATCTCCCAAAAGGCACCGGACCTCATTATCAGAGAGGAATCATCGTTGCGGAAGATTCGTGTGCGCTCCCTCAGGCGCAAGCGCGATCTAATCTCTATAGATCCAAACCGCATCGCTACAAATGTCAGTAATGCACTGAACCCGATACAGAGTTGTACTGCAACGACGTTTGACGTAGGTATGCCCCGTTTCCTGTCTGCGAACGCGAGACCATTAAACGTCTAGCTGTATGGAATTTGAATGCTTCAGCACCATCTTTGTGACGGCATCGTGAGACCAATCGCAGGATGGCCCCAGTACGGGAGCTGTAAACACTTCATACGGAAGTTGCTATGCTAATGCAAGTGTTGCTGATGCGGTGTGGTTGGATGTGCCAGATGCTAGTGATGCGAGTACATGACGCAGCCTAGAATTTCAACAAAATCCTCGAAGTCAACTGCCTTTCGCACATCGCCGGCAGGTGGGCCGAGATTGACGCATGCAAGCACCTCAGGGGATCGGATCCAGCGTTATCTTCGGACTTTTGGACATGGGCAAGATCGGTAAACATCGGGATGCGAGAGTGGCACGTTTCGGTCCTAGTACGTTGGTGTAGAGAGTCCAAGTGCATCTAGAGCCGCTTCCTGATCATACTGCGGAAAAGTTTGTACCGCTCAAGGCATCCCATGCCCCTAGCAGCCATAACAGAAGTTCCAGGTTTTTCCAGACCCCAAATTGCCTAATCATTGATGCAGGAAGGTTTCCACCAGACATCGGAGTTTGCACACACTACATGAGACTTCCGACAATTAGGGGTATCTATTGTGGGCTCCACATATGAATAGCAGCTACTCCCACAACTCCCTCTTATCACGCTGGCTAGATACATCTGAGGGAGAAGAAATGTTGTACGCAACAGCAATCACAGCGGAAGGGGTTTCACTATGAGAGTGTGGTCGCAAAGGCCATGAACTACGATCTCCCTGGCTCCCTTCAGTTCGGCGCAGCTTGGCTTTCAGTTCTGGGAACAGAACCCAACCCTTCTGGCTTACCCTTGGCTAATTGCACGTGAGTTCGGGTTTTGCTGTGGCGAAGCGGAAGGCTCTGCACCCCCCCCACCCCACTGATTTCTAACGGTGATGATTGAGTCTCCCGCTCAGGTGCGAACCGGGGCCATTGGAGGGCTGGGCGCGCATAGCACTGCGCAGGCAACATGGAAGTTTTGAGCTTGCATGAGCTTGCAAGTAATTCCTACATACTTTTGGCACCGCTGCTGGAACTGGGGGGGGGCTGCCTCCGGAGGCTGATGTGAGGACGCCCAGGAATATTACTGCAAACTAGCTTGATCCCTACAAAGGCAGGAGAAGATTCTGGTGAAGTGAGTGCTGTCCGCCCTGGGCAAAGATCGCTTGTGTCACCTTCAGGTGGGTGTCGTGCTCGTCTGGATGGTCGCAACGGGACCGCAAGCGCGGGGTAGAAGGCTTCAGGGAGTTCAATCACAGTCCGCAGGGCTTTGGTCCAGCAGCATTGTAGGATGTAGCGCGGTCTTGCTTCGTAAAAATCGGCAACCTTTCAAGCTTTATACGCTGAGGCTGCATGTCTTGCATGCGGGTCAAGCTAGCCTTCTCTACAAGGAGTTTGTCTAGCCGGGCTTGCGTAGTCCATAACGGCCTCAAGAAACTGCATTTTGAATGCCTTGCCCGGCATGTCCTAGGAAATCGTGAATCTTTGTTGGGTGATATGGGACCTTGGGGCGTTTCAGGGTTAGTAGGGAAGCATAATTTGAAGCACCACTGCTCCAAGGTCGGCGACGCAAACTCGTTAGTCGGCTTCGGAGCTGGCAGGGATCTCAGAGCAAGCTTACTGCTGTTCTTATCATTCGTGTTGTTATCGTTGTTGCTGGTGTCAGTCTGGGCCTTTAAGGCTGCAGATGTTTTGAGGGGCCCTAGGAAAGGTTGACCGCGACATGTGATGTGCCCACTATTTGGAGATGTCCTGCAGCACCCTCGCCCATCCCGTAAGTCTGCATCTATTTATTTACATATTTCTTTTTCTATGAATTTATATCCCGAAAGTATTATCAGGAATCTTTTGAGTCGTCATCTATTTATTTACATATTTATTTTTTTGTGAATTTATATCCCCAAAGTATTCTCAGGAATCCTTCGAGGGGAACTTAAAATCTTGAGAAGTTCCCAGGTGTCAGCCTCATTTCCTTCTACATCCGCGTTGGCGGCGGCATCTTCTCAAAAGGCTCAGACATTGGCAGTGCGAGGGCCCCAGGAGAACAGCAACGGGACGATCCAGGAGTTCATGCTCTGGGGACGCCAACGGTCTGTGCTGTGATGTGGGGAGGTGTCTCAAATCCCGATTATGGGCGAGAAGGAGAGAACCCCCTCTTTGGAGACCTCGCTGGCTAAAATGGCAAGGGTCGAAGTTCATCATGAGCTAAAAGTGAAGAGTTTGTTTCAGTTTGGATGCGATGAGTTAGTTAGGGCACTGTACCACGTGAACAGCATGGGATCTACGACTTCCCATGCGCCTTATTCGGTTTTCTTTTGAGCAGTGTTGCAGGGACACTGCAAGAGGCATGTGTTCGGAGCCCGAAGAGGAGCATCTTCTCAAACATGCACCATGGACACGGCCAGTTAATGCCAGCCATACAGTCTCAAGGGTCATATGCTACCTGCTAACCAGCATGCGCACTAGATAGACCCAGCTTTGCAGAACAAGGATTTCGTGGCTGACCAAATCACTGGTGGCATGGACGATGACATGAACCAAGACGAGCCGCCCGACACAATATCGTTTTCCCGACATGAGAGGGTCCCAGTCATGTACCAAGAGACACCACAGAAGACTGGCCATGATGTGGTTGTTCGGAGACCAAGTCAGATTTACAACGCGCAGCTTTGGAATCGCATAAAGGACACCTCAAGCAGGGTGCAAGCGAGCATGCACAAACTGGAAAGCTTAAAGCAGGCACGTTGCACATGCGCAGTCAATGTTGCACAGCGCTTCCGGCAAACTACCCAGACACACTGCTAGGCACTAGTCACTAGACTAGACATGCATGGCGGCCGAATCGTTGCCCTGAAATTCCGCATGTGCTAGGATTCACGCATCTGTTAATGTCTAACCTGCCAGGATTTCAGAGATGAAGAAGCGACTTGAGGATTTGGATGGCGAATCTCGTCTCAAAAGCTTCTCTTGTGATGCCAGCCTACAGTCAGCCTGTAAGACCAGGTGGGCCAGTGGAGTTTTAACAGGTTCCTTGAGAAGGGCTTATGAAATTTATGTTCTGAACCGTATGAGGTATTGTATGTCCTGGAAAGAGCACCCTGATGAATTTCTATACTTAGAATGATGACGAACATGCTGACGATGGTGGTGAGGACATTGCCTATACCATTATCATCATCATCTGCACTCCCGCTATGCACTCCCGTCAAAGGTACTCCTAAGGTCCTAAGTATCCCCCATGCTGCCAGGATGGGCAGAAGGATGAGAAGGCGATTGCAGCAGCCTCCTTGATCAACCCAGCGCCTTGACAAGTTCAGAGAATTCAGGCTCACAGCTTCACAGGGTTGTATCAGCTATAATCTAAACTCCTTAAAGAGTATTATAGGGTTTTTCGGGGGGATACCAGGAGTTTAGACTATAGCTCATCTAGGGGCTATAAAGGAGTTGCGTAGGGCTGAGAGGGGTTTCTAGGAGGGTTTATATGGGGTTTTAGGGCGCAAGCGTTTTTGACAACGATGGGGTTTACGATTTTGGGGTGACTGCCCTCTGCGCCTCGGCTTGAGCTGGAGGGTGAACATTTAGGGTTTATCTAGGGCTATATAGGGGTTATATAATTATATAGGGATAATCGAAAAGAAAATTGAAACTAAAGGAATCATAGTGATTATAGGGTTATATTGGGGTTGTGTTATATGATGTGGGGGTTACCGACAATAAGGGGTACCATGTTGGGGTTTATGGAAACTACCATGTGGGTTGTAAATCGGTTTAGGTTTGACACTTTGGGCACATCTTGCGGATCAACAAGGCGCAAAGGAGCTTGAGAATTGCTTGTACCAGCTTCAACCATCGTCCAACACCAGCGAGCACGCCGCACGCCCTTAAACAGATACCCTGAGCTCCAATCTTCAAGTCTAATGCCTGGAACTTCCACGTCAGTCAGGAGTCCAACATCGATGAGATGCACGAAAATCAGTTCATCACGGCCAAGGTGCAGTTATCACTTTGAGGGGAAGAGTTTTGAAGAGTTTTGGTATTCAAGGTCCATGGCTGAGGGGGCTGCTGCTTATATTGCCAATGAGTATCAAGGTTTGGAAGACGGTGTTCATAGAACTGCCAGGTGTGGGTGGGGATCGTAGAAGTGTTGCACACCCCTTTATTGTTGTGGAGTCATGCTTGCCTGCAGTGTGGGAACACTGTCAGGCAAATGCAAAGCAGCTGGACTCACCCCAATCTCATGTAATGTTCATCCTCCCCTCCCAGCAGGCAGCCCTCATAATCTTGTCAGATGCTGGGGATCATGACAACCTTGATAAGGTTTCTTTTGAGACCAAATTGCATACTTCTTCGAAGAAAAGACGCACAAACGCATGAACTGACTTCTTTGAGAGTCCGCTATGCCTTTCCGCCCCTTCCCGATACTCTCATGAAGGGGGTTTTGTTTTGGGATATACCGTACTAGGGTTATATAAGAATTATCATAATAGGCTAGGCTTTTCATTTGTTCCAAGCTTTTTGTCTTTTATGTGTACTATACTCGGGTTATATGAGGATTAGATGGAGAATTATGCCCCCCGATTATTCAAGCTTTCGTCTGTGAACAGTGAGTTACGACTGTCCAGCCCATGGTTTGCCCGTGGCGAGGGGGCTCGTACAAACCTAAATAGTCTCCCGCATTGGTATTTAATTCGCGCTTTCCCGTAAAAACTGACATTTCCTAATATCTACAAAGGCCGAATGAAAGAAAGAAAGGTAGCTATATCCCGGTTGCTTTTCCACCACTTAAATGGGGGGGGGGTTACATGAGCCAAAGCCATTTTAGTTTAGTTTGTTCGTCGGAGGCTACTGGGGGTCACATGCCATTTTAGTTTTTGGCAGGGGTCACATGGACCCATTTTAGTTTTGGCATGTGTTGCATGTTGTTGCGTGTTCTGATGACAAGCAGCAATAACAAGAATGATAATATGATACTTGGTTGTAAGCAGTTACACTAGTAGCAGGGCAAGCTGCGCAAGCGCGGCCGTGAAAGGGTTGCGCACCTTTTTCAAAGTGTACAAATGCCATCTTTTTTGCGCATTGATATTTCTTGCGGTCCAAAATCACGCACAATTTGCAACCGGTCTGTGGTTGTGAAAAGGGTGTGGAAATTGCCAAAAAAGCATCTTGGGAGTTTCGGTCATTTTTGTTGCTTCGCAAGCCGCGCTCGGGAAAATTAGATTTTTGCGGATTTTTTTGCTCTTTACCACAGGTCGTTGATACGGTGTTTTTGGTCACGCATGCGAACCATGCCGAAAAATGAGAAGCAAACAGCAACAACTGGGGAAAATCCATCAAACCCTGAACCCTGAACCCCTCACCTTAGACTGAGAATGCCATTCGCCAATCCCCCTGTTTCGGGATCACAGCTTCACTTTTTCTACAATCGGACCCCGCGCGCAACGTTTGACACGCATTCTGTGGTAATTGCGGACAGCGCATCGTGGATGTCTCGCAGTGTTGCCGGTAGAAACCCAGACTGAATACTGTTACCATCAGCACCGTAAGATGACAACCGTATACAGCGTCTAGCCGGGCATTGGGGTTACCAATACGCAGCGAGGATCATATCGAATAGTTCACAAAAAAGTTGGTAGGTACGTCCAGCTTGGCATCAAAAGTATCCGTTACAATCCCCTGGCTGCACCACCTTTAATTTCAAACATGAGCTTAGATGGCATAGCTTAGCATAGCTATGCATTCTTGATATGTTCCTTGTGGTCTCAACATGTTTATTGCTAGTTGGAACACTTCGTTGTATGCATTGCTATTCTATATCACAATACTATCTCTTATTAATGTGCGTTATTATCGCTGGTCATTCTTTGTATTTATGCCCATTAAGATTGTTCATCATGCTTATGTCCGTTTGCCATTCATTGTTATCAGCCTTGTTCATCATTACTATGTCTTCTCAGTATCCGTTTGACATGTTGTTACTAGGAACTATCAGGATTTGTTGTTACTGTTGTTATTGCTGCTGTTGTTTTTATGCCTTACTATTTTGAGTACTGCATAATCATGAGTATGTCTTGTGATCATAAAATCCGCGAATAAATGCTGACGAGAAATAATAACAAAACATAGCACATAATATTACCAACTAGTAGTAAGTACTGCTATGCAAAACATAAATGTCACCACATTGTGCTCTACTATTGACTAATGCTCTTATTCTGTTTTTCATGTCTATTATTGTCTGGTTTTGTCACTGCTCGCTAGTATTAGTCTGCAAGGGCGCAGCCCCGGGGATCACGCAGTCACAGCACCTGGACTTCGTTGGGTTCATTGCTATTCTTGATCACAGTCCGACCATCTTATGAATATGCGTTACTATTACTGGTCGTTGCTGATATTTATGTTCATTAATATTGTTCACTGTGACTATTTCCTGTTAGTATTCATTGTGATTTATTTAGTGAATCATTGCCATGTCTTATCATTTTCCGTTTCATGTGTTATTACTATGCGTGATCACGATTTGTTGTTATTGTTGTTGCTGCTGTTGTTGTTATTGTGCGTTGCTACTTTGAGCACTGTATGACTATCATTATGTCTTGTGCACATAAATAATGCGAATAAATACTAACAAGAACGAATAGCAATAAAAAGTAACACATAATAATAACTAGCAAAAGAGAGTATTACATAACGAAGGAATGCTACCACATCGTGCTGTTATACTTGTTGTGCTTATTATTACTTGTCAATTTGTCGTATTAGTCTGCAAGGGCACAACTCCGGGGATCACGCAGTCATAGCACCCGGTGGCATATTTGTGATACGCTCTTTGTGCTAGTATTAGTATTGTTGTGTTAATAGGAGTACTTCGTTGTATTCATTGCTACTCTTTCTATCTGTCCATACTAGTCATTCTTAATAGTCTTTCTTAATATTATTTATTGCTTGTATTTATGGATAATACTGCTCACTATAATTTCCTGATATCATTCATTGCATGTGGATAGTATTGTTCATAGTAGCTATGACTTAGAACTATCCATGTCATTTGTCATTCCTGCTCAGGAACCACTATGTGTTGCTGTTTTTATGCGTTGCTATTATTACTACTGTCTAACATTATGTTTTGTGTGAAAAAGGATAGAATAAACAATAGCAATAACGAATAGCCCAAAATACGAATAATACTCATTTGTAAGAAGTGGTAACAATGCTAGCATTTCATACTACCACAATCTGGTATTATTGGTGTCATTGTTATTACTTCCACTACCAGTTGTCATGTTCTACTCTCTGTTATGATGGTTTTCAGTCGGTGTTGTATGTTGTTTGTGGCCCGTAGTGAGAATGCGGCTTTGTTACTCGAATGGAGCTCTATAGGCTGGGTACGGCCGGCTACCCTGGCTTATGAAAGTTTCCTTCCGGTTTTTGCGGCGTATAAGATCCCTGTATAGAACAGGCAGCGCTTCGGACTGTTTGGGAGATGTTGTACAAGGACTCCAAGAAAATGAGAATCCACATCCTGAAATCGGACCTAGCTGTCCAGCTGCTCCTCCCATTTGGCACGCTAAGTTATGCAGCTGTTCCACTGCAGCCTTCTGGATGCTGAGTTTCGGATTGACCAATACGGTACGAATGTAGGTGTAATGTAACTTGGGCCCATTCTAGCAGCACAGTTCGGGCCTCAGTAGCCAACACACAGATGTGACGTAGTCAACCTGTAGCCCCGCTGGTTGGCTGGCTGGCTGGCTGTGGAGCCAGTACACCCCCGCCGGCCCTGGCCGTGTACTGCGTCTAGGGGCTACCCTAGCACTACAGCTGGGGCCCCGTAGCCAAACACGCATATGATATTTTCAAATTTTCATTTTCTCTCGTGGTTCGCATAAGAAAAACATAACAAGGCCAAGTAGAAAAGGGTCCTATCAGGCATGGGATGCACGTGGCAAAGCCTAGGAAAGTCACAGGTCCGACTGTCGGCCCGCAAAGGTCCGCCACTGAAATGGGGTGCATTTTTGAAGTATCCAATGACCGTCACATGGACCCATTTCAGACCCCACATGAACCCATTTCAGTGCCACATGAAGCCATTTAAGTGGCCATGTAACCCTAGCACCTACAAGCAAGGGGGATGTAGCTATATATATGTATATATATATGTAGACTATCAATTGTACCACAATCGGAATGTTCAATATTAGGAGGATTTTGATATTTGAGCAGCGTTTTGTTTCGGCATGCAAGCGCTATGATGGAAACGAAGCTGGAACAGTGCTCCTTGTGCAGGCTCGCGTATTCATGTGTTGGCGTGTTGGCCTATCTTGCTCGCGTATTCTAGCAAGCAAGGAGATAAAAGGTGTTGCACAGAATGCTGTGCAGACCGGATCCGCCGCGTAGTCCGCGTAGTCGGGGCAGTTGAAACGCTGATTCCACTTAGTCTGCGTAGGCTTTATTTGCTAGTATAAGCAGACTACTAAAAAACGATACTTGCGGGAGGGCATATGTCTGAAGGATGTATTCGATGTATGTCCGATGAGATTTTCATCCTAGGCCAAACAGGTTAGTACTTACCCGTGCTCAAGGAGCTGGAAATCAGGACGGAGATCGAGCAGCACATGGCCAAGACGCTGAAGACCATGCAACCAGACCAAGAAATTTGCACTTGATGCAGCATTCTTAGTGCTAAAGATGCATGTTGTGGTTTTAAGTGCTAAGCTGCAACCCGATGGTGCTGGTGTGCTGATTGAGTTTAGGAAGGTGTTGTCTCTAGTTTGGAAGTGCAGCCAGAAAATCTGGTGGCATTCCAAGTCTACCTTGCCGTGCAGCATTTTTTTAAGTGTTGCAGATGTGAGAGCCTATCCGCAGTACACTTCTTCTATGCGACTGTTGCAAGGTGAAAAGGGCTCAGGTCCCGAAGCCTGGGTTTCCCAAAGTGAGGCATTCCTTTTTGGGGGTCCCTACAGTAAGGTTTATGATGTACTGGTGTCTATGTTAGAGGTTTTCTTTCTATGGAAGCTAGTTTCTCTCAATATTTCTCTCTCTCTCTCTCTGACCTTCTCGTTCTCCTCATTGCAATGAGCATGTACGCAGGGGAGTCTGTCTATGTTTGGTCTGCCGCCAGGCTATCCCTTTCCGGACCCTCGGAGTCATAGCTTCGTGTCCCCAATCCGCACCTCTCTTTGCCATACCTTTAGTATATTGCCCTAGATGTTTTATTCCATGCCCTCTTCCCTGCTCGTTTCAGGCAACAAGTTTTGTTTTGATGTGATTGCTCCATGATGCCGTAGATCAAGGCCTTGCTGTTGCGGAGGGTCCGGATTAAAACTGATGATGCGGTGCCCCAATCCCCTCTATCCCTTTCCATGAACCTCCACATTGTACATGAGTATATTACGGAAGGTCCTAAAGTGAAGCCTCAGCATCCACACCTTCTGACCCTAAACCCTGAACCCTAAGCCCTAAGCCCTAAACCCTAAGCCCTAAATCCTAAACCCTAAACCCTAAACCCTAAACCCTAAACCCTCTCATGTCGCCAAGGCATCCTGTCAACTACCTGGACGCCATTGGCGAGAACATTGCAGACGTCGGTCTCCGCCTGAGCTTTGCCCAGTTTTTCCCAAGGGTTTAGGGTTTAGGGTTTAGGGTTGAGCCTGGGTTCAAAAAGGGTTATATATACCCCAATAATGGAGAATCAAGTGGAAAAGAAAATGGAAAATGACATGGAAACTGGTATATATAGGGCTATGTAAGGGTTATATGACCTGTAGTCTA